ATCTATCTATCTATCTATCTATCTATCTATCTATCTATCTATCTATCTATCTATCTATCTATCTATCTATCTATCTATCTATCTATCTATCTATCTATCTATCTATCTATCTATCTATCTATCTATCTATCTATCTATCTATCTATCTATCTATTCTATCTATCTATCTATCTATCTATCTATCTATCTATCTATCTATCTATCTATCTATCTATCTATCTATCTATCTATCTATCTATCTATCTATCTATCTATCTATCTATCTATCTATCTATCTATCTATCTATCTATCTATCTATCTATCTATCTATCTATCTATCTATCTATCTATCTATCTATCTATCTATCTATCTATCTATCTATCTATCTATCTATCTATCTATCTATCTATCTATCTATCTATCTATCTATCTATCTATCTATCTATCTATCTATCTATCTATCTATCTATCTATCTATCTATCTATCTATCTATCTATCTATCTATCTATCTATCTATCTATCTATCTATCTATCTATCTATCTATCTATCTATCTATCTATCTATCTATCTATCTATCTATCTCATCTATTTATTTATTTACAATTGTTGGGTTCTTGTTTCAGTATCAATATCAACTCACTAAGATATATAGATTTCATCTGATGATTTCTATTGTTTAATGAAATTAGAGTTCACGATATTCATATAGTCATATATGAGATTTCATTTCAAAACCTAAGAATTTATCACCATATCTCTTAATCATATAAACACTTTTATTGAACTATCTACATAAACATGACTGTTGTCAAGGTATAAGAACTAACTATGAATATATTTAATTATATAATCAATTTTTAATTACAAATGGGAGAGATACATATAGGTAGATAGAGAGTATATTAAAGATCAACGAGGACAAAATATAATTTTAATTTACGTGATAATCTAAAGTATTTACAAACTAAATCTGTTCAATATCAAATTAAACTAGGAAAATTAATAGATAATTATTGAATAAACGGGTATATGATTATAATCAGAACAAGGAAAAAAAACAAGTGAACATATGGAATGATAAAAATGTTCTTAATAATTCATAAGTTTATAAAGATCAGTATGCTAAGATGTTAGAAATATATTTATCATATTAGATTGAAAATCGTGATTAGGTTATTAATAATAATAATAATAATAATAATAATAATAATAATAATAAGAAGAAGAAGAAGAAGAAGAAGAAGAAGAATGACAATGAGAATATTGCATAATATAGTAAGCATTATAATAAGTGTATTTATAGACTTAACAAATAAAATGATTTGAATTCATTAGTGTAAAGTAGTGTAATGACCAAGAACTCATTCGGGAAAAACCAATTTTATTATTCCATACATAATTACAGAATATATTCACAAAATATTACAATAGTATATGAAATAATTCATTTGCAAATCTTTCATTGATTGTTCTTGGCATTCTGTATGATTCTTCCAATTCACAATTCTTTTCTATTTCCCTTCCTGTTTTTCCTTTGATCCAATCTTAGCTTCCTGCTACAATATACTCAACATCTGATTGGTATTACTTACTGCTTATGTCGACAGACATAAGTAGCATATACCACGGTAGTTTTATGGATTGAAAAATACTCCAGTAAAAATATGATGGGATGGACTATGTAAAAATCGATAGCATTTTGTGGACAAGTGGCATATAAGACCTCGCAGGCGAAAATGAAAGACTATCGAACTTCAGAGGTAGAAATAATTTACAGATGATGTTATTTTTGTAGTTTTCATGAAGAGATTTCAGTATGATGTTATATTGGCATATAATTATAAATGAATGGTTAACCTTATGTAATTTTTACGAAAAGAGTTTAACTACGTTTATTTTATAAGTAGTTTAAAATGCGTAACAAAAGTAACTACTTAGTGATTATATTATCATTTTTTTACAGTATTCTGATGAGTGTTAAATTCAAAGTTTTTGACAAGATATTGACTTTGGTTAGACGAACACCGAGAAATAGGAAGACTAAACTAATATGGGAATCTAGGTTGAGGAAGTTAGATTAGTGGTAACAGTTCATGATGTCAGTGCTTCTACTCCATACACAACTTTATTATACGTTAAATAGCTTATGTACCACATACTGTGATTACCATATTGTCGATTATTATTGCAAGTCCACATAGTTTATTCTACCTTTCGAACAGGCTAATTTATTCATTCTTCTTGAGTCATATTTTGACCCTGTCATTAACTCGCTTATCATCCTTGACTGCTTTTATGTAAATAAATATGCGTGCATTTCCTACCTTATTCATCACATGATATTTCATGTTTTTTTGTGATATGGGCAGAGACTTAAAAAGATATTTCCTTCTTAGACTTTAGTTTCCAAAGATTTACTACTAGATAACTAGATTAAAAATAGATTTCGTCAGTCATAATGCCAATAACTTATGAGTTAGTTTACAGCCCAATAAATGCTAAAAAGATAAAAATCTTGTTTAGTGAACCACACTAGTAAGGTTTATTAAATTATTCAGTTCTACTGCATTAATAGATAAATAACATTTTCCAATTAGTTCATCCAATTCATGGTGTTTTGAAACATAATCTAAAGGTATAAAAACAACAAAAGAACTGATGTTTTGTCAACGACTCAAACTGAGGCCACAATATTGCAGTCAAAGATATCATCACCTTTAAATCCCAAGTGTCGTACGCAACTTCAACGAATTTAACATTAATATAAAAAATTATACATAGGTGAATTAAATTCTGAGTAATATAAATAGTTATCAGAATGGGAGTTGGTGGAGATTGTAGTAATTTAATATTTGAGTTTATGAGTCAATTAAGGATAGACCACCATGGGAAACCTGAAAGCACTGGATGGACATTTCGTCCTATTGTGGGACTCCTCAGAAGTGCACATCCATGACCCATAGTGGATTTGCTGCCCAACTTTGTGTTTTAGTTGAAGTTGGATATTAACACCGTTGGATGCCGGCCGGCTTAGTGCTCCAGTGGTTAAGCGCTCGTGCGCAGGACTGATAGGTCCTGGATTCGAATCCCGCGAGGCGTGGTCGTGGATGCGCACTTCTGAGGAGTCCCACAATAGGACGAAACGGCCGTCCAGTGCTTTCAGGTTTCCCATGGTGGTCTATCCTTAATTGACTCATGATCTCAAGTACTGAAATGTCTCTCTATGTTTTAAAATTTTTCTTCAAACATTTTCAGTTACTAACATATGAATATCCGTTCAATTTGCCACTTGATACCATCAGTAATAGCCTTCTGTGGGAGAGGACAAATCACCTTCCAGCTGAAGAGGAAATTTTGAAAGGTCCTTGGAAGTGGATAGGATATACATTACGGATATCACCAAACTGTATCAAGTGGCAAGCCCTGGCTTGGAATCCTGAAGAGGAACGGAAAAGAGGAGTGCCAAAGAACACACTACATCGGGAATTGGAAGCAGGTATGAAAAGGATAAATAGCGACTGAAAATGATTGGAAAGGATTGCCCAGGACAGGGTAGGATGGAGAATGCTGGTGGGATGTCCATGCTCCTCCACGATAGGTAACCGGCGTAAGTAATTTACCACTTTGTAGTTCTTTCATACTTTTTGTCGTTATTCCACTAATCTACATTAATGTGATATAAAGTATAAATATCAGTAATAAATAATCATTACTATCATTTCTAGGTTTTTAGCAGCTGATGAGAATACACGTAATAAACGTATTCACATGAATTCTTTGACACTTATTATTTTAAATGTTAATCCACCAAGATAATTACAGATTATTATTTATTTTTATTAATCATTTTATGTTGTCATTAATTTACAATAGAAGATTGCAATTCAACATAAAATTGTCATTTATTACTATCAGAATGGGGATTTGTAGAGATTGTAGTGATTTGAATAGTTGATTTAATGAGTTGATAGTGACATGAATATTTCTGTTGAATTATGATATGATGTTGCATAAAATGAATTAATATTTGATATTAGTTTTTTATCATGAATGTTCCATTATTCAAAAGGTTCATTATTCTACATTTTAAAAAAAAATCGTATTTCATTATTTCACTAGTTGAAATCATGAGTCCATTGAAGCTAGAACATCATGGAAAACCTGATAGCACTGGATATCCGTTTCCTCCTATTATGAAATTTCTCAGCATTATTGTCCAACTAACTATAAATACTTCATTTAGATTATTCTAATTCCACTGATTATAGTATTTTCTGAAAATTAATAAACATTATTATGTCATTCACTTGATATTGTTTTACTTGAATCTTCCCATTGATGTTTTTGGAACTGAAATTGATCAGTCTCTTATTGGTATATGTGCATACTGTGCGTATGCCTTGATATTGCCTTAATTTACAAGCATTATAAACAAAGATGGATAGTGGCTAGCAGTGGAATCCAGGACGCGCGTTTCGTCCTGTTTGTCATTTATTCAAATGATTATAATCATCACAGTTCATATCATAATTCATTTTAATCGTCAAGGTTACTAATGAAAGATAGAAACTAAAAGAAATTGTCTTCATTATTCATTAATTTTAAATTAGCATGAAATAATACAATTTATTCATTATTCTTTGTTTTTAAAATTGTAGAATCATTGACAAAAGTTGACACAGTCCTTAGTTTTTTTTTCTTATTTTTTTTATATAATTCCAATGTCTATTTAAAATGTTTATTCTGACTTGATTTTATGCATCAAGTCTGGGTGAATAAGGCACCAGTGTCTTTACACACACAATATATATATATATATATATATATATATATATATATATATATATATATATATATATATATATATATATATATATATATATATACGTAAGAACGTGTATGTCCATGTTGTTTGTATTGGCAGTTATCCCAATCGATTTAATTTAGACATTGAAAAACGGCTACATATACACGGATATAAATTGACCAATCAAAAAGGACATTAATCGGACTGGTTAAAAAGCATCAGTTTAGCAGTGTTATTATTATTAACATTACCATTATTATTATGAATTTTATTATTTAAAAATAAATTTGGTCAATGTACAATTTAGTTACACATTTATATAAACCTGTCCCAACTAACTATCTTATATCATTCATTAGTTTAATTATTGTAAAAGGGAATGAACAGACTATTTAATATTCCTTATGTATATGTACATCATGTAATAATACATCATATTATTTAATTATAATTACAACATCATTACAATATTGAATAAAAATCAATATTTAATTAAAAATTTTCAATTAATAAAACAATATGGAATTTTCATTATTATTTTCTCTTATGAAATAATTTTAATGGTAAGTTATGTATTTGAACAAAAGAAATTATGAGTCAATTGAAGCTAGACTATTATGAAAAACTTGGAAGCACTGGATGTCCGTTTCATTTTAGTATGGAACTCTTCAGCAGTGCGCATTCACGACCTAAGCCCCCGCGAGATTCAAACCCAGAATCTATTAGTCTCGCGCGCGAGCGTTTAACCACTAAATCACTGAGTCAACTGGAATTCAACGGTGTTAATGTCTACATTCAACCAATCTAGCTTCAAATGACTCATGATCTTAACCACTGAAATTGCTATAATATCCACAAAACTGTTCTGATATGAAAAGAAATTAGTTAATACTTTAAGGGAACTTTTATTTTATTTGTAGGATTTAAGAAAAATATATATAACTTGATTTATTTGATTTTTATTTTTTACTATTCCACGAGTGGGATCGTGGATATGTACTGCTGAGGAGTCTCGCAACAGAATGAAATGGCCGTTTGACACTTCTAGGTTTTTAATGGTAGTCTAACATCAATCGGTTCATGATCTCAATCAAAGAGTATATATTATTCGTTATCATTTCAATGGAAATCATTAAACTCTATAACCCTATAATGATAATTATCTGTAATAGTCATGGATATTATGAATCAGATAGTCATTTTCATTTGATAATTATGTTTAAAATGAGTCAAGTATCACTAAGACAGATGAATGGTTGTTATGCAATTTAATTGATTAATCTTTAAGTTAAGTATACATCATTGAAATGTATAGTAAATCAGTTCAATATTACTAACACTTTAAGTAATGATTATGATTGTAGTCTAAATAAAAAGTATATTTCTGAATAGTTTTCATTACATTGATTATACATTTATTGAGACTTTTTTCTATTTAGTAGACTATAATGACCAGAATTAAATAGGATAGAGAACTTATTATCTAATTATTATATCACTTAATCTAGAATACTTGTGCCCTTAAAACTTGATACTACATCATAATGGTAAATTAGACCTTACTTATTTGGTATTTACATTGATCTATGTTATATTTCAAATTTTCAGTGATTCAGTAGACAGTGGTTATTTTCTATATTATTCTAGAGACTGTTATTTTTAATATACAATTTCAATAACTTACTGGTATTTCCACTCAACACTGTCTCTGGTAGTTATATTTATTCATATATACACATACATTTATAACAATAGACGAGTGCGAAGTAATAATTAAAATGTCAGGTCTCACAGGGAACACAATCTTATCCGATCGATGAGCTGCTATGAATGGGTTGTGAATGTACATCCGGTGACTCTATGTTATGGGGTAATACATTAATCCCAGATGGTAAGTAAAAAGGATAATGAAATAGAAGGTAAAAAGATCAAATGTATTCACACAAAAATTAGGCTACTTAGTGGGCGGGGGAAACATGTTCAACAAATATTAATTCGTAAGTTGCTCTTGTGACTAACAATACTTAATAAACCATTAAAATCTTGATCTAAGGATCATGACTAAGTAAATCATGACATAATATGGAGTTTATGCATATTATCTACCTGTGAGAAAGAAAAAGAGAGAGATAGTAAGTGTTGTTCCTACCAGACAAGAAGAAAAACCTTTCCAATTCCGAAATATTCCTACAATATTTTAGAAAGAGACTGACTATTTGTTCGAATATTTTTTTAAGGTGGTAATTTGTACTCAATTACTAAGGCTCTCAAATCATGACTGTTTGTTATGCTAGATTTTAAAGCATTAACATTTGTGAATTACACTTTATCATCCAGTTTCTTAAACTCACTTGTCCCATTAATGTTTAACCTTATGAAATAAAGGTATTGTGGTAAACTATATAATGATAAGCTTTATTCAAATTTTCTTGTGGTTATTTATAATGAAGTAGTAGACACTTATCATTGGTTCTCATGCAAATGCAACTGAGATGAATATACAGACATTATTATACATAATGATATAAGTTCTAGTTTCAAAAAAATATTTTAATAAATTCGTACAATTAGGTGAAACATAAGTTTATTTTAAAAACGATTATGGATGTACGAAATCTGCTATTATCTACTTATCATTTTTACTTAGAAGTGTAATTATGAACTTTAATGGCTGACTACTAACTTATGTGAATAGTCTCCAATTATTTATAATGATGAATAGTTGACGTAATGTATACTTAATAATTTTCTTCACTTTTCTAATATGGAGCTTTAAGTTTGGTGCTTTTAGTCTACAATGGGACTGCATTTGTACTTCCAAAACCAAATGACCAATTGTCAATGTCATATCCTCTTTTTAAACATAAGGCTTTTAATATTCATTTCCAGATGAGATTGAGTTGACACATTAACCTATGTGTTTTAAATTATAGGCATAATAAAAATATGAAACAGATTTACGCCAGATAATTTACAAAACGAGGTCTTATTTACACTGCTAAGTTATTAGATAAAACAGATTTATGAATAGAAATAAAGCCATTTTATTCATGATCATTTATACATAACTGTAAAAGAAGTTATAGGATGAATTTCTATAAATGGGAATGTATTCAAAACTTAAAATCTTTTCCAATAATAAAACAGAACTTCGATCAGCAATAAATTGGTTCTTGATGCAACATCTACTGGAATTTGACATCATAAATCATGATAATAAATCGACAGATTAGGATCAGTTATTGATACATACCTGTCATTCATTTTACGGTATATATATATATATATTATTATCTGTATACATTTGAACTAAAGTCTGGGTATCTTTACTCATATTTCCAAATAAATCGAGATATTCAAGTTTCATACTAAGCATTCTACTGTTAAATTGCTTGAATAATATACTATGACTGTCCATAAACCATATTCAAAAATACAACAATATTTTTTATCAGTGTGGTTGATAAGATCATTCATCATAGAATTGTAGCTCAATTACCTGTAAGTCATGATCTTACAATGGCAATTAATTCCTCATTTTTTAATCTCGAAGAGACATGAGAGCTAACAATTATAAAAGAATCACAAACAAACTGTCTATTGTTTTAAGATGGTTAGTACGATATTTTTCTCGTACAGTTTCTTGGTTTAAGTCATAATATACACTTTTCCATAAAATTTCTTTATTAACAGGAGAATTTCTGGTTAAAATTTGAATGGGCTGCACTTTTACAAAATCTGAGTTGTAATGTTAGAAACTTTTGTTATGTTAATTACATAATATTTGGTACAAAGTAAAAGTAAATAAGTAAACATTTTCAAGAACACTATATAACAGGAGACATAGTCCAGTTCACAGTAAAAATGAGAAAATTTTCCTGCGGTTAGCTGAGTTCTTTTCATTCCTATGAATAATGTAAAGAAAAAACTACAACGTGATTGCCATTGGCTTAATTTCCGAGCCATATCTGACTATGCCTCAAACCGCTGATTTAGATTATTTCTAACGCCTCAACTACGGAGTCTTGATGAAGCGACAGATTGCAGTTCTATATAGCTTTCTTTCGTACTACTGCGTTACTTCACCTCACCACTTTTTCTTATCAACCCGTGTTCACACATAACGCACAATGAGGAAGTCACTGGGGTCGTATTCGTAAGAAACGTCCAAGCTACCGAAACTGGTATTTCAGAATGGTTACACAATTTGGATCGTCATCACTGTCACTGTGCATAATGCTGAGCCTTCACATTATGAATATGGTGTTGCCATTGAATGTTAGCAAACCCTCGGAGACAGCGGTGATTGAACACAGAAAGCCAACGAATAACCACAGCTCGGAGAGTTTAGGTTTCGCAAGTATAAAAAAATTAAGATGTGTTTATATTTACAGTAAGAATAAAGACTATACGAGTGTTATTAGTTTAACATGATATTTTTAGGAACTTTTTATTGTGTTGATACAAAGTTATCATAGCGACTTTTCTTAAGGGGCGTTGATGACTATCCAATATGATTAATTAAGATATATAAAAAAATCCAAGACTCATTAGGGAAATCAACCTAATCATATTTTATCAGAATAACTAAAAGTTATTACTGGATCAATTTCACTTTTGTACAATGAAAATCATTTGCAACTATTCTTGAGTAACTTTTAATTACGTAAATTAAAGAATTTAAAAATTTTGGGCGAGACTAATCTATGGACGACCTTCGATAGAATCTTAAGCGACCTTGAGAAATATTAGCCAATCAGCAAACAGCTAGCATAGAGTAAAATATGTTATACAAAACCAAGCAAATAAAGTGGATACACTTCTTATACATGGTTCAAAAACTTGTCAAGGTCAGAAATAGGTTCAGAGGTCCTAAAATCCTAATGTATGCAGTAGAGGGAATCATCCATACGGCTACAGAATAGTCGGCCTCTGGAGCCATGATAAAGTCTCAAAAACTCTTTCAGCCTCGACCACATAGTTCAATATTGTTTATGTGCACTCCGGTTGTTGAGTACACAAAGTACAAATTATGGATAACGATACGATACACATAACCAAGCATATGTAGGAGCCTGTACGCTCTCCAAACATCCGTATATATTGTAGTACCTGGCTGTAGCCAGTGTTACTGGTGCTTTTATTATCCAGTTCGCAATAACTGTCATAATTTGCCTTAGTTAGGAATTATATATGGGGTTTTCATCACGAACCGACATCAGCTATAATGCCAGGAATTTATTTAGCCAAATGGATGAAAGACTTTCACGTTAAAATCTGAGACCTATTATCTTATACCCGATTGTTTCGTCCACAGATTATAGTCCCGCTGTTTTATTTGTTATAGCCGCTCAATTATCACGTTTTATACAAAATTCCCTGTGAACCGTTCGTACGTTAGCATTAAGCACTCAAGTTGGCGCCGTAACCTTGAAATCTCTAAAACGCATCTGACTGGCTCTTCCATAAATTGGAGTCTCGCCAAATTTTGTTATTTTAATACTTAATGACTTAATATAAACAATCCATTTGACTACTTATAAATATACTAAGATGTATTAAA